AAAATCCTCTAAATAAATTCTTATTTATAATTTCACTTTCTCTTATTCTAACATTACCTTCAAACTCAATATAAGCTTTGTCATTTTTTTTTTTTGTTAGGTAAGTAGTTAAATAAGCCTAATGTGGTTCAATCACAAATGTACACAAATTCTTATTAATTATAAAATAAGAAAGTAATAAATAAGGAAAAAAAAACTTATTTCTAATAAATCACATTATGTATTCAACCATGCTCATTTCTCTCTGTTTTCTTAATTTATTACTTGACAAATGATATACACAGAAAATTTGGTAGGCATGCAAATTTGATATTACAAATATCCAAAGATGGAATTTTGGCATAGCGGACTTGGTGTGTTCAATAATGATTTCTAAAGATGGAATTTTGGCGCCGGCTTGGTGTGATTAGGGAAATGATATTTTTGACGAATTTAATATTTGACTTAAAATTAATAGGTAAAAATATAACGTGTTATTATAAAATTTCAACTTAAATAAGTATCATTACTATACCTGTTTGTTTCCATAAAATACGTCAAATGTTTTTTTTTATTCTTCTTTTTCGTTTTCACAGTATCTTCCATGGTACTCAAATAGAAGAATTTGATTGGTAAAAAATTTAGAACAAAAACTGTAATATTTTTCAATTTTTCAATGCTTCATAATTTTTCTTTAAATTCCTCTTTTTATTTTTGTTTCTGGAATCACTTAGATCATTAGTTTTTTATCATTATACCAATGAACAAATGCCTATCTAATTATATATTAGAGATGCAATTTTAAGTATCTATGCATTAAAGATCAAGATGCAATGTGATATATATATACAATTTAATATACATGGTGATTGAAATTTTAATAACCAACAAATATATTATATTAAGATGAAACCTAAAAAATTGATTACAACTTTTCAAATAGTTAATTACCTTATATTTTAAAATGGGTCATATTATATTTACACATAAGTAGCCATATAAAATAGGTGAAGTAGTAGGTTTTTATTTGTAAGGCTAAATAGTAATAGAATTGCTACACATATCTAGGAATGTGTTTCCATTCTTTTGGAAAGCTGACCAAAATCCTTATTTATTGGGATAAGTAGCACGGAACTGCTATACATATTTAGGAAAATGTAATGTTTTCATTATTTTGGAAAGCTGACCAAAGTCCTTGTTGGAAACGGAGATATTAAAAATATAAACTTTGGATGAGAATTGGAATAGATTCCTAAGAATTTTTTGCAGATCTACAGACCAGCGCGTTCATTTTCGCAAGAAGATGAACGTGGTATATTTACTTTCTCAAATCCGTTTTCGAGTGAATGAGAAATTAGATTCAAAGTGAGGTGTTCGAAAAGCCTAAATGGAAAAAGTGTTTAAACCAATTGAAGTTTAAATAAGTCAAGCTTGGGCTTGGATTTGGGCTTGGACTTAGGCCTAATCATAAAGTCCGAATTATTCTTTTTATTAAATAGAATTTTGGATTGGGCCTATTTTTGGGTTGGGCTTATTTAAATGGGTTTCATAAATGGGTGGGTTTTTTGGGTGGTTGGTTTTTTGAATTAAAAAACACTTTTTAGTTTTTCTAAAAGGTTACACCTTTTAAATTAAAAAATCAGTTTTTAGTTTTTCTAAAGGATTACACCTTTTAAATTAAAAAATCACTTTTTAGTTTTTTCAAAGGGTTACACCTTTTTCCGAACCATCATAACCCATGGTTGCACCCACCCGAAAAGGCACCTGTCTACCTATAAATACCCCCATTTGAATCATTTGCAAATTACACTAAAATTCAGAGAATTCTTCTCTTCTTCTGAATTTTCTTCTTCCTCTTAATCTCTTTAGTCTGTGGGTTCGAACCTTAGTATTTGGGTTCGAGCCTTAGTCAGTCACTCCGAGTCCGAGTTCGAGTCAAAGAGTATTACACCGAGCCGGTTCGCCTATTCCTTTGGTTTGCAGTGCTACTACCGAAGGAAGACAAGTCATTGTATCTTAGGAGATAGACGCCACTGAGTCCGTTAGCACCATAGCGAGGCAAATCTGCCTTAAGGAATAGAATCAAATTATAACCTCGACTTTTGATTAGGTTCTTTTATTTTATAGGTTTTATTTTATTATATTAAATTATATATTATAATAAATTATATATATATATACATTATATAATACTATAATATATTGTACAGTTAAATCATATTTTGAACAATAATTCCTATTTATTGGGATAACTACAATCCCTTCATTTGGTATAGGGTCTATGGATGATGGACATGTATTTGTGATTGGACCACGTAATCAATTGGACTTGTGTGAAGTTTGGAGCCATAGTTGGCAACCACTTAAAACTAATTAAACCAAGAGAAATGCCAAAAGACTCGATTACTGTTCACCCGGGAAAAAAAAAACTAACACACACTTGTCAAATGTAGATTGGTACATCTAGGCAGTGACTTTTTGGCCTTTTCTTCACGTAACTTTCCTCTCTCTCCCTTCTCCTTCCTCCCTCCAGACCTTTCCACCGCCGCCGACCTCGGTCAAGATGAGTCCAGACGGATAGCTCAGTTCAACGGATTAACCGATGTCAACGGCGATTTCAATGAGTGACTGTATTTAGTTGGTGTTCTGCTTGTTTGGGTGGTCACCATTGGCAAGCAAGGCTGAACCCACGGGACGGCGACGATTGTTCTCTAGCGATTTGGTTATGACTGGGTTGAAGCTCCCTGGCCGGCCGGCGCCTGAAAAACTCTGGATCTAAAGGCCATGCTTTGCCGCTGCTCTCTGCATCTTCACCCAGAAAAAGCCCACGCTCCTGCGAGTAATCTGACTCGCCCTTCACGCGCCCACGCGCTCCTTCATCTGCCTATGTTTTCCAGTGATCTTCCATCTGTCGGTGTTTTCATTTTGTGTTTTTTTGTTTTTTCTGATTCTATTTATTCTATTAGTTGCATACGATTTATCAAAAAAAAAAAAAAAAACCTCCACCACCATCAATGGTTTCTCTATATCTTGAATGTGACCTTGAAAACCAAATAAGAACCCAAAAGACGCATCAGCAATATTACCAAACCCCTCTCTCTACTCACTCTCTATCTACATGATAATATAGATGCACAACAAATCTCTATATTTTTTTAGGTAATTACAAATCTCTATACATATATATATGTTTGCCTCAATGGGTTTGTTTTTGGTTGGGTTGTTGAGGTGAGATTGAAGTGGAGGCCATGGAGGGTGATGGATTGAGCTCTTTGGATTTGTAGATGGAGATCGATCGCCCCTAATTTCATCAAGGGTTTGAGAAACTGAATGGGTCTCTGTTTTTTTTTTTTTTTTTTTTTTTTTTTTTTTTTTTTTCTGACAATGAAAATGGGTCTTCGTTTCATGTACTGGTTTCTAGAGGGAGAGTTTATTGGAGAGGGATAAAGATAGTTTTGATGGAGAAAATGGGTTCACCGGTGGTCGCAGAATGTTCGCCGGAAAGATAGGTTTGTCCTGGATTGTTAGAGAGAGAAAGAGAGGAGGGAGAGAGAAGGGGCATCTGGTTCAAAAAAAAAAAAAGGGAGGAAAATTGCCACGTTGGACACCACGTATGACAGTCGGTTGGTGTCGGGTGAATAGTGGTGGTCGGGTTGTGTAGCACCGCTCATAAACCGATACTCAGTATTTATCAATTCCTTTACATAACATGTTTTGTTTTTGGAATATTAATCAACCTCAAAATAAATTAAAGTAATGAAAACTAATTGAAAAAAAACTAAAAGAATTTTCAAGGAAGAACAATGCATGATTTATATGTGTTTAATTCCCGAATGTATTTGAGTGTATATATATGTATTTGTTCTTATTTAAATTAGATTTTTACATATAAATATAGTGGTTGGTGTAAGAGGTGGAAATGATCATGGTTAGGGAGGGTGGGGTGTAAGAGATGGATAAAATATACTGATAGATTTGAAAGGAGAGGGAAGAGAAAGAAAATAAATAAAATAAAGATAATTTTATAATTTTTTTGGAAAAAATTATAAAAGTCATGCATTGATATACTTTTTTAAAGCCTTCTCTGGATTTTTTATTTTTTATCTGCTTTACTAAATCAATGCCAATACCTTTCAAGGAGTAGTCTGAGCAATTAAATTAGAAAAATTTAGTTTATCAATTTAGAGGTGCAACCCTTGTATAAAAATCCAATATAAAAACATGGGAAGGTAGGTGAGGACATACTGCTAGTCTGTTTGGTGTGGAGATCAATGGCAATCAGTCACAAAGGAGAATGATGGATTACGTTAACCATTTCTTTTCTATCAAAGTCGATTTGGAAAAAAATATATTTTCTTGCTTGCTTTTTTATACTTTCGGAAAAGTATATATTCTTACTTCTCGAACCCAATTCTTTTCATTTTTGTGAAGGACATTAAAAAAGAAGAAGAAATAATTAAAGTTTATAATGAAAATGATAGTTTTGGTATGAAAAAAGAATTTGGACGGTATGTACATACTCGAACACATCCCCTTTTGTCTCCACCTTGGACAAAAGGTGAATGATTCATTGTTAGGTAGAATTAACATCCAACCTATATATGTTCATTTATTTTTTTACTTGAATCTGACGTGAGATAAGCTCTTCCATGTTATATTATTTCTCACCAGAACTCGCAACACTTTCTAGCTTGGGCTATCCTGTTTACTCAGGGTGCAAACCCAGACTCCCTTTGAGCCGGGTGTTTAGCATGACGTTGAATTGAGAACAAGTTTTGATTTTGATACTATCTATAGTGGATGGGTACTATTAAAAAAACCTTAAACTATCCGGTATAGTTAACATCCAACCCATAAATACTCATTCATTTTTTTATCTGAATTCGATGTTGGACAAGCTATCCCTTATCACATTCTTCTCTACCAGAACTCGCAACACCTTCGTTGCAATTTGGGCCACCCTGTCTATTAGATGTGCAAACCCAGACGCCCTTCGAGTCGGGCGCTTGCCATGATACTGAATTGAGAATGAATTTGATTTTGATATCATCTATAACGGGAGTGTACTACGCTATCTGATCAAAAAAACACTTAAACTATCATGTGGCGTTAACATCCCACCCATATATATATTCTTTTTTTTTTTTTTTTTTTTCATTACATGCTTTTCCTTTTTAGACTGTAGGTATTACCCACACCATTCAAAATTTTTGTCCAGCTTTCTAAATGACATTAGTGATCAGTGTGTTACAAAATCAATCTTAAATCAACTCGTAGTTTCAGTATTGTGTCTGATGATTGTATTGAGACAGCAAAGATCTTGATAGAATCAGAGAGATTCATTTTTCACCTGGCCACCTCATATGTGACGTTAATTAGTGAGAAAACCAAAGAAAAAGAGAAGCACTTCAAAAGAGTGAGAAAACCAAAGAGAGAGGAATCTAGAGAGAGACGAACTCAGAGTGAGAAAAGCATAAAGAAAACGTAGAAAATACAGTGTCTGAAAACACGCACAAGAAAAGAAAGCCAAACGACAAATAGACCATCAAACAAACACATTACAAAATGCAAAGATCAACCCAACCACCACCGTTCGCCACCACCGCCGCCACCACCGACAACAGAACCACCACTCTCTGCTGCCTCATAGCCACCTCCATCTTCTCTCTTCTCTTCATCCTCTACCTCTCCGCCTCCCAACCACCCCCACCGCCACAACCAGACCCGTTTCTCTTCCCCAACGGCCAAGCCCAGAACCACCACCACCACTACCACCGCCTCCTCAACCACCAAATCTCCTCCGACCCATCTCCGCCCAGTCCTCCCTCCATCGCCTACCTCATATCCGGATCCACCAATGACGCGGGTCGGATCCTCCGCCTCCTACTCGCCGTATACCACCCAAGAAACCAGTATCTCCTCCACTTAGACCTCTCTGCTCCCCAAGCCGACCGCGACTTTCTCGCTCTCTTTGTCCAGTCAGTACCCGTTTTCAAAGCTGCCCAGAACGTCAATGTCATAGGCAAGGCCGATTTTGCTTACCCGAAAGGGTCGTCTTCGATTTCATCCACATTACATGGTGCTTCGATTCTTCTTCGGGTTTCTGCAAATTGGGATTGGTTCATCAATCTCTCTGCTGCTGATTACCCATTGGTCACACAAGATGGTACTCTATATATAAATATAGTGTGTATATGAAATTATTTATCGACATTGTTCTTGAATGGTGTGATTTGGGTTTCAACAGTGTCAAATTCTAGATTTTGAACTGATCTGCTGATATGGGTTTCTTTGGGTTTTCAGATCTTCTTCACATTCTGTCCTATCTGCCTAAAGATCTTAATTTTGTGAATCACACCAGTTACATTGGATGGAGAGAGTATGGACTTTGACTTGTCCAGTATATAATTCATGGAAACACACACAAAGTCACATTTAAAGTTGCAAAATTTTGATGGATGCTGTTTATGAATTTTAGTGATTTGTTTGGTGATGTAGATCTCGGAGGTTGAAGCCGATAATTGTTGATCCGGGGCTTTATCTTTCGGAGAAAAGCGAGATGTTTTATGTCACTCAAAAGAGGGAACTTCCAGATGCTTACCGGTTATTCACAGGTTAGTCTTTTAGTAGCAATTTCTTGTGTTTCTCATTGGGATGAATGCTGAGTGTCTATGTGTTAGTTTGAGTTGCGAATGCATTCATTGCAAATTATAGTTGTGAGGCAGTTATGAGGCTGATGTGCAATTATAATTAGAAATGCATTATAGAGATAATTCTTTGCAAACTTTGAAACAGTTTTAGAAGCATTTTGAACATGAAACCCTATTATTGATCAAATGTTATGTTTCCGGATAGCATAATGTATGCACTGTGAACTGCATTATTTAGATTTTACTGGGTGAGAGCAACGCAATCAAGTACTGAAAATTGAAAATATATATATTCATAACACAGAATTACTATCACTTAAAAGCATAGGTTTCACCTAAAAATGTCCAAAAATTTTAGACAAAGGGATTTGATTTATCACTTGATGCCAGACATGCTCGATGCAAGTAGTTCTAAAGAATCTAAACTGTTAGATGAAGTGGACAAATTGACATCAAAATATCTGGTTCTCTATTCTGTTTCTCTGTCCATCTTCCTCAAAGTGCCATCTCTTATGCCTCTCCAAATCATGGGCCTTCTCCTAGTAAACTGCTCAGCCATGATTTGTCAACCTCCTGATGGCAATCTAGATACCGGGTCCCTCTCTTTTCCACACACCAAGTGTATGAAAAACTTAAGCGATTATCTCTTATGCAACTAACCAACTGTAATGGCTGCAACTGCTGTCATGAGCAGTAATGCAAGAATAAATTGGTCTTGTCTATTTTAACCAACTAGTTTGTAAAAGAACCAATCATCCATTCACATTATCTCAATCCTTCCGCCTGGCTTACTTTCATTCCTGGCATGATCAATAACAACTGGTCATATGCAAAACAGTAAAACTCCTGCCTAGGTCTTTTCAGTACTAGCATAAACAATAACATCTGGTCATATGGTAAAACAGTAAAACTCTTGTGTGGGAATTTCTTTACCTGGAATTTCATCTTTTACTCATCAGTGAGAAAGTAGCCAGAGTTTTTGCTTGAGTTTGAGAGGAAATGGGAAGGGTTCTGTACTTCTGTTATAATGATTGATTTGCCCTTATCACTGAATTTAAAAATAGGGGTATTTTACGGGTAACCTTGCCTAACTATTTACATGAGCTCTGATCTAGCTCACCAAAATTGATTACTGGTCTTCTGTGCACACGAGATTGAGCACACGTGTATAAATGTGTGCATATGCACATACATAGTTTAAGGACTTTTGAACATGAACTAACAATATCAGTGTCATGAAATGGACAACATTGATTTAAAAAGTAAAGGTGATTTTGGGCCATAAAGGTTTGAATGATGGGGAAAGTAAAGTATTCTTTGTAGTTTACAGTTTTATCTTTTGATTTATTACTTTATTTAAGGGCTTAATGTCGAGTTTAAGCAAGTCTACTCCTTAAAAGCATCCCATTCCAACGAGTTTGTAGTCGGGTTTTTCTGACTTCATTTGAAAGCAATCATCTACATACTCATGAATCATTTTGGGGAAAAATACATCTCTAGTCAATTTATGCAATTGTATATTTCAGAATTTGTATTAAAGGGGAATATCAAAAGCTATCTATATACAATCAAATCTCAACAGTGTGTGTTCACTCAACATTGATAGAAGAATAGAATCCTCCCTTGATCATTTTTGTTTCCAATTAAATCAGTTTTTAGATTTAATTTGTCATTCTTTTGCTGCCTTTTTGAATTTTAAAGTGTTTATTGATAGGGATTTTTTATGTATATAGAAAATAGGATTCTCAATATTTTTATGTGCAACAAAATTTTTTATAACGCTTGATGTTTTTATAAGCTATTTATTTATTTAATGTAAGTTTGAACTATCGCTATTAAAATTCATTTCCCTCAAAAGGTCCTGTAAAATGAAATGGGGACAGTGTACCAACTCCTACCTAAACTTTGAAATCTAGGATGATACAGTAAACATACTTCAAATTTCATGAAATTCACTGCAATATTCAACCCACATATCTAAATACCATATAAAAATTACTGGAATTAAAGGACATGTCATTCATTATAAGCATCTAAACTGTCTAGTTCATAAAGCTTCACGTTCTACATGGCATAAATTTTTGAAACTACAAACCTTTACATCTAAAGTTTACAACCCCTCATATTTACATATCCATATCCAAAACTAGTTCAAACCAAAATGCATATTACATTAGTTATAGTGTACAAAAACCTCATACCTAAACATATAAATCAAGTAGGCGTACGTGCAAGAAACTTCATGTATTAAGTATTTTCCATTCTTCTTTAATGTCATCATTGGATGAAATCTGTAAATGTAATATATAGATATCATAAGCTAACACTTGTGTTACCTGGACTCACCACTGGAGGCTGAAGCCTCCGTGTCGACACAACACGGACACTGGATCTGAGTCGGATCCTTCATCCTTGCATCGGACACGGCTGATGATGAAAAATACAAAAAAAAATAAAATAAAATTGTGTGGGTTGATGCTTGTGAAGGATTAGAAAATTTTCCCATGTTTTATCTGTTAAACATGCTTCCATTAACGAGATTAGAAAGCTCAGGGCTTCAACAATGGCAGTCTGGTGCATCTTTTGAAAGGTTGAAGGCGTCGTATGCACACGCGCTGCGTTTGCAAATTTTTTTTGTGTGGGCTAAGCATGATTTCACTTGCTTGACTATTGACCAAAATGACTTTTAATACTCTTCAATGGCCACGATGATGCCACCTGTTTATTGGATATGAAGAGATGGAGATTTGGGCCTTTTAACAGAGTTATAATTAACCAAAATCACTACCTACAACTGTAAACCTGCATAATGGTTTACTGCTGTACTGCACAGTCCTTATTTTTTTTATTTAGTACTACTATATATCATCAATAAGAATCTTGAGACATTTGTTTTTGTTCTCCGCTTTGACTTTTCAAATAAGGTAAACAAATACAACAATAAAATAATATTAGTTACTATATAAATTTATATTACTCTTTCCTTTTCTATTATATTTATTTTATTTTTATTAAAAAGACTGATCTCGTCGTCTATTACACAAAAAGGGTACACTTTTTCTTTTTCTACCAAATGTCCAGGTGTTTGTGTCCAAAATTTGGACACTTTTTTAGCCGTGTCCCCGTATCCCATAACTTGAAGGATGGATGGATCCGACTTTTAGACATACACCCATGTCCGACATCCGTATCCGAGTCTAAGTAACATAGGCTAACACAACTCAGGATAGAAGTAATACGATTCTAAAATCTATCACAGCTTAATATGCTTAATAAATTTTAACATAGCATGTCATATTTAAAATATATATTGTATACAATACATTGAAAATTGTATCTCAAAGCAATACAATACATTGCTTATTATTCGAACCTTTAGAGCTCTTACTCAGGGTTCTTCATTTTCCATTAGTATTTAAATCTTTTAGGGGCTGTCACCCAGGAACCATGCTCCCCATTAACGTACAATAATCATCTTAGTGCTGTAATATGTATTCAAAACCTTTGGAGGCTATCAACCTTTCAGCCAGCGTTTTATCCCCCATTAACATATAAACCTTTTAGGGGATCTCTCCTAAGAGTCCATACTAACACACATATATATATATATATATATATATATATATATATATATTATATATACACACTATGTTACCCGGACTCGGACACGGGTGTGTGTCTAGAAGTCGGATCCATCCATCCTTCAAGTTATGGGATACGGGGACACGGCTAAAAAGTGTCCAAAATGTGGACACGAACACTTGGTAGAAAAAGAAAAAGTGTACCCTATTTATGTATTAGATGATAAGACCTCAAGTCTTTTTAATAAAAATAAAATAATTATAATAGAAAAGGAAAGAGTAATATAAATTTATATAGTAACTAATGTTATTTTATTGTTGTATTTGTTTACCTTATTTGAAAAGTCAAAGCGGAGTGCAAAAACAATGTCTCAAGATTCTTATAGATGATATAGTAGGACTAAATAAAAAAAGTAAGGATTGTGCAGTAGACCACCATGCAGGTTTACAGCTGTAGATAGTGATTTTGGTTAATTATAACTCTGTTAAAAGGCCCAAATCTTCATGTCTTCATATCCAATAAACAGGTGGCATCATTGTGGCCATTGAAGAATATTAAAAGTCATTTAAAAGTTACTTATCAAGAAAAGAGTATTAAAAGTCATTTTGTTCAATAGTCAAGCAGTGAAATCACGGCCGGCACAAAAAATTTGCAAACACAGCACATATGCATACAGTCGTCTTCAACCTTTCAAAAGACGAAATATACTACAATTGTTGAAGCACTGAGCTTTCTAATCTCGTCAATGGAAGCCTGTTTAACAGATAAAACATGGGAAAATTTTCTAATCCTTCACAAGCATCAACCCACACAATTTTTTATTTATTTTTTGTAATTTCATCCTTGCAGTTTCTAACTGGGGATGTGAAGTCGGCTGTTCCGCATCGAGGACCGTCTTTGTATATCGACGGGAAGTCCGTCGGAGTGAGGCAATCAATACTCTCATCTTGCTTGGTTGGTCGTTTTGATAAGGAAGTTGGGGGCTGTGATTGTGTGGAGGAATGGGCGGCGAAAGCATGGAATACGTCCTGTGGTGTGGGGGTTACTCCATTATCTGATTCGATGCTCCTTTTCAGGTTTCCTTCTCAGGCTGAAGCCCAATACGTGTTAAAGGAAGGACGGCGTCACTGGGGATCTGCTACTCTACGGATCGATGTGTGGTCTTTTAGGGTTGGATGTTGTGGCGCCCTTAGAGAAAAAGGACTCAAACAGATCCGGATGTTTGGGCTCCCCCTTCATCTATGGTGTCATGCCCTATTTGTTGAAGTAGGGGGAGTTATGCGGCGGATTTGTGGGAGCTGTTGCCGATGAAACCAGGGATGCCGAGAGTGTTCATATTACAGTGAGAATAGGATCGACTTGTCCGCAATTTGTGTTTATTA